CCCGTGCATGTCTGTATCCTTCTACTGAATGTTCCCTGAGACGATAAGCAAAGGCGGACTGTTCTGCATGTAAACTTCAAATGAATGGTATCGTTCTGTATGTGTTTTACAACTTGTTTTTAGTTAACGTTTTGAGAGATTTTATCTATGTTGATGGCATGACCTTATTTCTTTCACTGCTCACTGTCCATTGTAACCCTTACAAAGCTGTTTCTTCTCCGGGTCCTGGCCCTTTCAGGGGCTCCCCAGTTCTGACCATGGTGAAGACCACAGCAGGGGCTGCTTCTGAGCCCCCATCCCGTGCAGCGCTTTTGCTCAAGGATGTCCTCCGTCGTCAGCCTGCTGCACTGCAGTCAGCTGTTTTTTCACCGTCTTCTGGCATCACAGGCTGAGTGTCTGATGAAAGCTGCGGACCTCGCCAGAAAGACGGTCTTCTCTTACATGCCTCCTTGGCCTGTGGAAGGCGCCTCTCTCCTCCTCCGTAACACAGACTAGAGTGCACAGCAGTAAGAGCTGGGGACGCCCGTGGGCGGGTGTGTGTGGATGCCCCTGCGTTCAGGGGTGGGACTCCAGCCCTCACGGGAGGGCAGAGACAGACAGCCATTTGCGCATTTGGGCTTTTTTAAAGTTACTCACCCTTGGATGCGTCTCACCCTCGTGCCCGTGTATCCCGCTGCTTCCTGTGGCACCGTCTGTGTGACACCCGCCACGCGCTCGTGTGACTCCACAGCCACTGGAAGGCCTGGCGCTGAGCCCTGGTGTACATTCTCGGCGCGCTCCCTGCTCTCCCGTCTGTTTCTCATGAACGGTGCTGTGGGCCGGGCTGGGCCCCGCTGGGCGGCCCCGAGCCGGTCCTGTGTGAGGGATCAGCCCATTGCCGCCCACGGAGCGGGGACCCGACCATCCGGGCTTGCCCTCCCGGCTCCTCCGGCGCCTCCGCAGGACCGGCTCAGTGCTGAGACCCTCTCCGCACGAGGCTGGGGCTCTGCTGATGGCCGATGGAGCCAGGAGTCGGCATCCCCAGAGGACAGGCGTCGCCCTGCCAGTGTCTCACTGAGGAGTCCCCATAGACCTGTGGGGCGAGTCCCTGAGACCCGGTCCCCAGAGTGCACGGTGAGCGGCTCCCCCGTCCCGTCAGTACTTCTGCAGAGGGGGAGCCAGGCAGGGTGCAGCGCCCCGCACCTCTGCAGGGAAGCATGAGATCTCACGGTGAAAACCGGAGGCTGACGGGTGGATCTGCATGGCTCTCTTCTCCCTGGCTGCCGCACCTCTGAAGACTGGGGGCTCCTCACTGAAGGGAAGGTCGCTGCAGAGAAACAGTCCCATGGCAGGATGATCTCCTGAAAATCCTAAACGTGATAATAGGAATGAAAGGCTAGAAGAAGGGTGGGAAGGTATAGCTGAGGAAGTCTCCCAGAAGTAGACCCAAAAATGAAGCAGTGGTAAATAGAAAAGATAAAAGAAGTTAGGGGATCAGTACAGGAAGTCAGCTTCCCCGGCGGCTCAAATGGTAAAGAATCTGCCCGCAGTGCGGGAGACCCAGGTTCCATCCCTGGGTTGGGAAGTTCTCCGTGAGAAGGGAATGGCAACCCACTCCAGTATTCTGGCCTGGAGAATTCCGCTGACGGAGGAGCCTGGTGGGTTACAGTCTGTGGAATCGCAGAGTCAGGCACAACTGAGCCACTAACACACAAGAAGTCAAAAACCCAGCTGTTTGGAAGTGGTATCCTAGCATTTTCCCGACGTGGAAAGCAAGGCTTCAGTAGGTGAATAACTTACGGGTGGTCCTGTGGCTAACCCTGAGGCGAAATTCAGACCCACACCTGTGTGACCCTGCCCCCACCCCGGGTCCTGCAGGGAACAGGCAGCTGAGTGTGTCTGCATGTCACACCGGTCAGTGACCACAGGGCTGGTGCGGGGCTGTCCGTGCAGCATTTAGGGGAGGTCCAGTCCGAAAAGGTTGTCCGTAAAAGGTTACCCTTTGAGATGATTAACATGAAACCCACAGAAACCTTTGTGGAGAGGAGGGATAACCAGGCAGGACAGGTCAGACTGCCTTTGCTTTCTTGATGCTAAAGATCAAAGTCCTTAGCTGAGCAGGATGGGAAGAGAGGAGGAAGACGCCCCGTGCTGTGGGGTGGGAAGGGAAGTTTGTCAGGAAACCAGTGAAAAGGCTTTCCCAGAAGCCGGGGGATGGTTCGCTGCTGAGGGTCTGACCAGGCTCCCTCATCCCGGAAGTGCCCATGGGTCCACCCTGTGGCCTCGGGGGAGTGAAGGCGGCAGGGCCCCACCGTGCGGTGCGGGCAGGACCCAGAGGACCTTGCGTTCTCTGGATCAGGTCGCTTTCTCATTCTGAATCGTCCAACCTCAAGCTCAGAGCAAAAATCCCAAGGTGTTTGAAAAGCGATGAATCCAAAAATGAGACTCTGGAAAACGAAAATCATACCTACCATCTAGAGATGGCACCAGTATCCGAGTGACTAACGTGACAGGCATGCTTACCTTAGTTTACTCTCGGGAACCTTGAGATGGGGGTGTTCGGAGGCGAGGAGCAGGCCCGCACTCGGCCGCCCAGCGAGTGTGGGTAGGGCCGGGGACCCAGGCCCAGGCCCATCGGTCTGGGCCGTCTCCTGAGACGTGGGAGTTAGTAGAGTGTAAGCTCCATGGGGGCGAGGGGCTCATCTCGCAGGCTGTTCTGAGTGAGGGAGGAGTAAACAAGTGAATGACCATTACGGAAGACTGCCTCCCAGACCTCTCTTGAAAAGCACCAGGCTCTGTGTGTGGTTTCTTGGTATAAAGATTTGGATACTGTAACTTGCATTTTAGAGTGATCCTATGGTTTCCAGATAAATTTTTCATGTTGGTTTGATACTGGGAGGTAAATAGGTATTATCCATCTTGCAGCTGGAAAAGTGGTTCTTGAGTTAAATGGTAGAACGTTAGTGTTTGTTTTTCTTTTTTTTAATCTACAGCATTTTTCTCCCTTTGAGTTATCCCTAAAGCATGACTATAATATACTTCCTTAAAATACTGTAGGCTCTGGGTGTTCTTGAATGCCCTTGTGGATATGGTATGCTATTAAGTATGATAATTAAAATTATCTAGTTAATATAATTGGGAAGAAGGATAAGATTTCTCATTAGTAGCCCCAGATCCTCACTTCAGAATGCCTGCTGGGAGATGACAGGGTCCAGTGCGGCTTTTGACACCCTTTTTTGTTCTGTCTGCTCATGTGATAATCCAGCGGTCTAATGATTTTGTTCTTGAGAAACTGTAGTTAGGATGCTGCAGGAATCAAGGAAGGCAGACAGGCCTGACGGCAGTGCCTGTCCCTTGTGGAGCACGCATGTTGCTCCTCTCCCATTTGCACATGAGAGCAAATGGATACACTCCTAAGCTGCATTACTGTCCAGAGCCACTGAATTTTACAGTTGCTTGGAAGGAATTTCCAAGACAAAGCCTAAAAGCGAGTAGTGTCCGGTGACTGGTCACGGCTGGCCCGTGGAGGACAGTACGTGCCCACCGGCTCAGAGCACTGACCGGAGTGGAATAAGCAATGCCCTGGGCTAGGAGTTCTGCGCTGGAGGCTGGCGCCGGGTTTAGAAACAGCGACACAGGCTTGCTGTACAGAGAGCAGCGTGCCGCCGGCAGTCAGCTGACACTGGTGTTAGGTTCATGGTCCGGAGGAAATGGAATAAAGCGGCCATACTCATCACACCTTGAACGCTATGGTAAGTGAGTCTACCCGGTGGAATTGTGTAGTCGGAGCCGTGTTTATGACTTAGTCCCTGCTGTGGTTTCTAGGGCTTCTTCAGGAAAGGTCAGCTCTCTCCTGGCCCATTTTCCCCTTTTCTCCTTCTGTCCTGTCTCCCATCAAAAGCTGTGCTGTGATGTGGATAGCGTGTAACTTAATCAGTGTGTACAATTAGCCGTTCACATTGTGATCCTTCTCGCTCAGACTGTGTGACCGTGCTGTTTCTCCTTTAGGATATCTCTAATGCTCGTGCTGAGTCATTTTGAGGGAAGCAAATGGGGTAACGTTCTATTTTTAGCCCCTCGAGGCCCTGCGAGGGCGAAGGGCAGCAGAGTCCTGTGCGTCTGCTTGGGTCATGCCCACCTAGAGGGACTCGGTTCCAGTTTAAGTAGGACTTTTCAGCTGCTGAGTAAACACAGAGCTCCTGGGAAGTGCGTTCACTTTTCCGGTACCTTGTGAAAGGTTGTTTCCTTTTCCTCCCTCGAGAGAGAGAGAATTTTACCAGTTTGAAAGTCTGCATAGTGAAAGGTTTGCTCACGCCTGTCTGCATCATTCATTTTTCCGTCAAGTGAGGCTCTTATTCTCCCCCCACCCTCCCACCAATTTCAGACTCTTCCACGCCCTCTCCTTAAATTTTACCCTGATTCTGTACAGAGGTCAGCACCCTATCCATGACCCCTGCAGTGCAGCTTTCACATTTGTTCACAGTGATGACATATGTTTTCCATCTGCTCTTTCTGTTCCAGTCATGAGTGGTTCACTTTAAAAGAGGAAAAAAGAAATCACCTGTTTTCTTTAGACCGTGAACTGCTAAGAGGACCAGAAGGCAGTTTTTGTGATTTTAATTTGTATTGAGACTGGTACAAGCCCTTTGCTCACACAGATGTTACAGATGTTGAATAATGTTTTTGACAGTGATGGGCTCTTAGCCGTAAGACAGGCATTTAGGTCCTGACGCTCCCCTGTGAGCAAGCTGCTGTACCCCTGGAAGGACAGGGCCAGTCCGGGAGTCTCATAAGTAACATTCTATCAGCAAGTGCCGGTGAATATGCTTTATTAGTAAACTATGTCTACTGGATTGAATCTACAAACCTATAGTTTTTAGACTCTTACGTTCATTTAAATATGGGTAATGTATTTCTTTTAAAACATGAAAGATCTGTAAAGCTTTCCTGTTAAGATGACAGTGTACAAACAGCTTGACTCTTCCATACCTGGCAGTCACTGTGCGTTTCTGTCCCTGCAGAGCTCTGGCATTGAGACTTTAGTGGAGGAGCTCTGCTCCAGGCTGAAGGACCTGCAAAGCCAGCAAGGTGAGAGCTCTGTCCCCGCGGGCTGTCCACGTCCACCACGCAGGGCACAGCCCTCAGAACCGATCAGAAAGAAAGAGCGCCGAACCGAAGTCTTCATGCCCAGCGTGTCACCAGGCCGGTGTCCTGCCCCATCTTTGGCTGTGGGTGGCTGCTGGTCAGAGAGGTCCCTTGCTCTCAGAGGAGTGACTTCATCTGCTGGAGCACTCCCGGAGAGGAGATGAAGCTCTGGATCTGGAGCAGTCATCTCTTGTCTCTTCCATCCTCCCTCTTCCTCCCCACCATCCCAAACTAATACTTGTCTGGGTGACAGCGAGGCCTGCAGAGGTGTATCACCTGTCACTTCAGGTTGGCCGCAGGAACTTTTGCCTTGAGTCTTGACGGTTTCGGAAAGGCAGACTCGACAGGCTCATCGAGTTGTTGTGATCTGTGAACGCTCACAGCTTCTTTCCCCAGCGTTTCTGCAGGCCCATAGAATAAGAATTACCTGTTAAGAGTTTTTATTTTGCTTGTCCTCTTCATGGTCATCTTGCTGCACGCCCCCAAGTCCCAGGCCTTTTTAAAGGCACAGTTTGTTTCTAATCTGAGGGCAGGATCGTGAGCTAAGAGTTGAAACACAGCCCTTGCTCCCCTAGATGCTAAGTAACAGAGCTAATTGTAGTAACTTTCTTTACATATCAGTGTTAATCAGGAAGAGGCAATATAAAGTCCATGAGTGCAGAATCTTGTGAGAAAATATTTTTGGAATCCTAACAGATGTTCTGCCCTTGCGGCATAATTAATAAGCACCCAGGGATTTCAGTCTCGTAACTATGTGCCTCTAGCGCGCTCTGTCAGTGATGAGGTGAGAGAGCTCGGCCCATTGTTCATGGCTGAGCAGAGTTTGCTCTGGCTTAATGAAGAAAGAGGTTTCTGTCTTTTCAGCTGTGCCACGGAGCATGTGGGATCTTAGTTCCCTGACCAGGGATCGAACCCACACCCTCTGTATTGGAAGCGTGGAGTCTTAACCCCTGGACCACTAGGGAAGCCCCTGAAGAAATAGATTTTTATTAAAAAGATAACTGGTGTAGAGTTCTTTTTATGCCATGGAAGCCTGTGTCATTTCTGATTAAATTTACTTAAGGAACTTTTAGAAACACGAGCATTTACCGACTTGATACTAGACAGATCTTTCTGAATTTTTATTTCGTTAACAGAAGAGAAGATTCACAAGAAGTTAGAGGGGTCTCCCTCTCCAGAGGCAGAACTGTCGCCCACAGCGAAGGATCAAGTGGAAATGTACGTCAGACTGTGTTCCATGATAAAGTCACTCTAATGACTGCCCTGCTGCGTGGTTCACAGGTTTAGTTTGTCATCTTCTATTTAGTTTGCTATTTTATAACTCAGGAGTCTAGTGAGCACTTACTGTGTGCCCAACACAGAGAATCCAAAGGTGGATAAGATGGTTTTATCTTTTTTCACACACATTGAATCAATATTTGTGAAACTGATGAAATGAACAAGGTTATTATTTATGGTCCGTTCATATATGACCTTTGAAATTCAATGCCAGTCCTTTGAGCCAACGGTGGGAATGAAGTTTGTCCTTGTTTTACACACAAGGAAGCCAGCTTCCCCCTGCTGATTACAGAGGGAACGTGGGCAAGTCAGGAACCCGTGTCAGACTTGTTTCCTGAAGATGCTTTTCCGGCTTTCTTCATAAGTGGTTTGTATTTAAATTGGCCGCATTATAAGCAGGGTTCCTTACCATACGTGTCAGGGGAATCTTCCAAACTTGTAAGTCTTAAGGGGAAAGCAGGATGTCATTGGTCATGTGGCGTGTGCCGTCCTGCATGGTAGGCGTGGCCGCGTGTGGCTGGTGCCCATGCTCCACGTGGCTGTTTCAGATGGAGATGAGCTGTTTGCGTCCCGACCCCCAGAGTCCAAAGATTTCATATAAAAAAGAATGTAAAGCATTACATTAGTGTTTTTACTATTGAGTATATGTGAGATGATCGTGTGGACATATCTGGCTAAGTAAAGTACACTGTTGAAATTAACTTCACGTGTTTCTTCTTACACTTCTAACGGGACTCCGAGGACATTAAAAATGACTCACAAAGCTCACAGTATGTTTCCGTCGGGCAGCTTGGTGCAGACAGAAAACCAGAGTCCGGCGTAGGCCCGTGAAAACCCAGCCCTCCATCCCTCCCTCCGTGTGTGACCTTTGCTGGCCTCCGCAGTGACTCCCCACCCTGGCAGCCGGTCTGACTCTCCCAGTCTTCCTTTGCCAGTCTGGTCTGGCTGGCTCTGAAACCCTCCGTGGCTACCAGTTTTCTCGAAAACTGAAACCCTGTTTCCAAGCCCTCCGACGCCAGCCTCCCTGGTTTCCTGCCCCTTGTTGCAGTAGCTGCTGCTCTCATGAGGCACGGGGAGGGGGCATCTTTGTATCTTCACCCAGGTTCCCACGCCGCGCAGTGGGCGCTCAGCAGACCGCAGCATGCCTGGAACATCAGGCTCAGGTGTGACCCACCTCGTTTGAACAATCACAACCTGATTGTTCCGGGCCTCACCAGCATCCATCCCCTTTCCCGAACCCTTGAATCCCATGATCGCTGCCATTTCTGATGGCCTGCTTAACCAGCTGGGTGTCGCGCTTGGCTCCTGAGAAGGAGACACAGTGAGAGTCTGTGAAGGTGCCCCTCTGCCTCCTTGTGCATGTTAAGTCCTATAACCCGAAAAAGAATAATAAACCTAATACTCCTCACAGCTCTGTGACGTAGATACTGTGGTCAGCCCGTGTTCTAGGCCACAGAGAGGTTTAGGAGCTGTGCCTTAGGTCACGGAGCTGGCAGATAGCAGAGTGAGGACCCAGGCTCGGGGAGCGTGGCTTCAGAGCGTGTGCTTGCAGCTGCTTTGCTCGCCAGCTCCTCACCCACATCTGTTTCTAGTGCGCGTGACAGCCGTGTGAGAGATGCCACGGTGCCCTCACCGTCCAGGTGAGGCAGCGGCCTGTGACACTGCATGAGTCACTTACGTCACAAGCAGAGTAAATGAGCTGAGACTCACGTTCAGATAGTCCTTATCAGAGTATTAGCATTCTTCCCACCGTGTCGCATTTGTACTTGTAACTTTACGAAAATCCAAAGTCTAAAGTCGTCATCTTAACATATTCTCTAAGTGTTCCTGTAGCGCTTATCTCGGTGTTGAACGTTGAAAGTGCTTGGTCCATGGACCTAAATTTAAAGGTTTTACTGTATTGTCAGTTTTTTTTAACTTGCTCACTCATGGATGGCTCTGACTGTTGAAATGAGATACCCCATTTCTCTGATGGGTGGTGATGTTTTACTATATCGGATACGTCTGAGCTCCCGCTTTTGAAATCTCTTGCTTGTTTTTTCAGGTACTATGAAGCGTTTCCACCGCTGTCCGAGAAGCCAGTTTGCCTGCAGGAAATCATGACCGTGTGGAACAAGTCCGCAGTCGGCTCCTACTCGAGCTCGTCCTCGTCGTCCACAGCTCCTCCAGCCAGCACAGACACGCCCTCCCCCAAGGACTGCAACAGCGAAGGCGAGGTCATCCGGGAGAGAAGCTGCGATGCGCCCGCCAGCCTGCACGAGAGAACGCAGGGCGGCCGCAGCCACAGCGAGAAGGAGAACAGGTTCAGGAACGGGCCCGGCGAAGAGCGGCCCGCGCCGCCGCCCTACAAGAAGCAGAGCCGGCACCGGCCAGACGGGAAGCCGCGCCCGCGCTCCTGGTCCTCCGGCTCCAGCGAAGCCGGCTCGAGCTCCAGCGGGAACCAGGGGGAGCCAAAGGCGTCGGCGAAGTGCGTGAAGGCAAGGCACAAGGCGCGGGAGATCCGGAACAAGAAAGGAGCGCGCAGCGCGCAGAGCCGGCTCTCGCTGAAGCACGCAGAGAAGGCGGAGAGACAGCCGCACGCCGCCGGGAGCAGCAGCAGCGGCGGCGGTGGCGGCGGCTCCATCAGACAGCCGTGCAAGCGGGGCAGGCGGCCGCTGAAGGAGCCGGGCAGGAAGGAGGCGGGGGCCGCCGCGGGCAGAGGCCTGCTCCTGGAGAGCGGGGCGGACAGGCAGTACAAGGAGGAGCCGCTGTGGTACACGGAGCCCATCGCCCAGTACTTCGCGCCCCTGAGCAGGAAGAGCAAGCTGGAGACCGCCTACCGCAGCAGCCAGGACGCGGGCGCCGCGGCCTCGGCCGCTGCGGAGGCGCTGTCCGAGTCGGTGCGCGGCCTTTGCATCAGCAACAGCGACATTCACAAGACATACCTCGCGGCAGGCACTTTCATCGATGGTCATTTTGTAGAAATGCCTGCAGTCATAAATGAGGATATCGACCTCGCTGGGACCTCATTCTGTCCTCTGCCAGAGGACGACAAATACTTGGATGATATTCATCTGTCAGAATTAACACACTTCTACGAAGTGGATATTGACCAATCCATGTTGGATCCCGGTGCCTCAGAAACCACGCAAGGAGAAAGTCGGATTTTGAATATGATTCGACAAAAAAGCAAAGAGAAGACAGATTTTGAGGCAGAATGTTGCATAGTGTTAGATGGAATGGAGTTGCAAGGGGAACGTGCAATATGGGCAGACTGTACCAGCTCTGTGGGTGCTGAGGGCTTTCTCCTGCAAGACCTCGGCGGCCTGGCCCAGTTCTGGGAGTGCTGTTCGTCCAGCTCTGGCGATGCCGACGGGGAGAGTTTTGCGGGAGACTCCCCGGTTCGACTCTCCCCGACCTTAGACAGCACAGTGCTCAATCCGCATTTGCTGGCCGGCAATCAAGAGCTCTTTTCAGATATTAATGAAGGATCTGGTATAAACTCTTGTTTTTCAGTGTTTGAAGTGCAATGCAGTAATTCTGTTTTACCATTTTCTTTTGAAACACTCAACTTGGGAAATGAAAATACAGATTCTAGTGCTAACATGCTTGGGAAAACACAGTCTAGATTACTAATATGGACCAAAAATAGTGCCTTTGAAGAAAATGAACACTGTTCTAATCTTTCAACAAGAACTTGTAGTCCATGGTCCCATTCAGAAGAAACACGTTCAGACAATGAGACGTTAAATATCCAGTTTGAAGAATCCACACAGTTTAACGCAGAGGATATTAATTATGTAGTTCCTAGAGTCTCGTCCAATTATGTAGATGAAGAACTCCTAGATTTTTTGCAGGATGAAACTTGCCAGCAAAACAGTAGGACTTTAGGAGAAATCCCAACATTAGTTTTCCAAAAAAAATCTAAACTAGAATCTGTCTGTGGTATTCAGCTAGAACAAAAATCAGAGAGCAAAGCCTTCGAAACTACGCAAGTGTGCAGTGAAGGCAGTCCACGCGGAGACGGCTACAGCTCAGGGGTTATCAAAGACATTTGGACAAAGATGGCAGACAGAAACTCTGCAGCTCTGCTAGAGATAGAAAGCGCTGATGATGAGTTGTTCCCGACAGATGTAAGTAACTGCTGCTGCTGCTTGGATGCTGAGGCTCCGACGGAGCCCCTTCAGGAGCCCAACAAGGCCGTGCGGAGGTCAGAATACCGTCTGTGGGAGGGCCAGAAGGAGACCCTGGAGAAGAGAGCCTTTGTGTCCGGCGAGCTGTCCAAGGTGGATGGCGGGGACTACACCACCCCCTCAAAACCTTGGGACGTGGCCCAGGACAAAGAGAACTCATTCATCCTGGGAGGAGTTTACGGAGAGCTCAAAACCTTCAACAGCGATGGGGAGTGGGCAGTCGCACCACCCAGTCACGCCAAAGGAAGTCTGTTGCAGTGTGCCGCTTCCGACGTGGTGACCATAGCGGGGACAGATGTCTTCATGACCCCCGGAAACAGCTTCGCTCCTGGTCACAGGCAGTTATGGAAGCCCTTTGTGTCCTTCGAACAGAACGACCCGCCGAAGAGCGGGGAAAACGGATTGAATAAGGGATTTTCCTTCATCTTCCATGAAGACTTACTAGGAGCTTGTGGCAACTTTCAAGTTGAAGATCCTGGACTCGAATATCCCTTCTCTTCCTTTGACTTAAGCAATCCGTTTTCACAAGTTCTCCATGTGGAGTGCTCCTTTGAACCCGAAGGGATTGCATCTTTCAGTCCTAGCTTCAAACCGAAATCGATCCTCTGCTCTGATTCCGACAGCGAAGTTTTCCACCCCAGGATATGCGATGTCGACAGAACCCAGTACCGGGCCATCCGGATCTCCCCCAGGACTCATTTTCGCCCCATCTCTGCGTCTGAACTCTCCCCCGGAGGAGGAAGCGAGTCAGAATTTGAATCCGAGAGAGATGAAGCAAATATTCCCATTCCTTCTCAAGTCGATACATTTGAAGATCCACAGGCAGATCTCAAACCCCTGGAAGAGGACGCAGAGAAAGAAGGCCATTACTATGGGAAGTCCGAGCTTGAGTCTGGGAAGTTCCTCCCTAGGCTAAAGAAGTCTGGGATGGAGAAGAGTGCCCAGACATCCCTGGATTCCCAGGAGGAGTCGGCCGGGGTCCTACCGGCAAGAGAGCGGAACCCGTGTCTGGAGTGCAGCATGAGTGAACCTCTGGAGATCGACCTGGAAAGCCCAGAAGCAAACTGTAAAATAATGGCACAGTGCGAGGAAGAAATTAATCATTTCTGCAGCTGCAAAGCAGGTTGTCAGTTCCCTGCTTATGAAGATAATCCAGTTTCTTCAGGACAGCTGGAAGAGGTATGTGTCAGTGGGGATCAGTACTTGGTGAGAGAATTTGATCAGACTTTAAGAACAGCCATTTCAGGCAAAGAAAAGATAGGGTTAAATTATTGGGAATTTAGCTTGAACGTCTTAAAACTTAGCATCCTTATGATTTTTACATAAGGACTTAACGTGGATTTGATGTTTATCAGTTTGAACTAGACAGTTGACATTTTTAAATAAATCAGAGTGTGAGGTGTTTCTTGGTGTGCTTTGTGCATGTGCTATGCTTAAAGCAAAGCATTCACAACCGATGAATCCAGAAGTGGCTGTTCACTCTTTAGAAGGCCCGTTGCTCCTCAGAAGTGGCGGCGAAGGGTTTCTTGAAGTAGGAAGCCTGTCTGACTGTCTCTGCAACACTGATTAGTTTATAAAAGTTACATTTTACATGTAAGATAAATTGCATCTCTGTAGAATTCTCTGAAATTTTTTGTGGTACATGTAGCAATTAACCCTCAATACAAATGTGACAAAATAACTGACCCTGCAGGTATACCCACGCTTATTACAAAGTATGTATCCTGAGGTTACATCAGCTGTGTGGGTCAGCCTGTCAAATGAAGTTAATAGGAATGTTTGTTAATTGAGTCATTGTACCATTTGACTATTGCTGAGAAGTGGTCTGACGTTAAACTGTACAAGAAGTAACAGTGAAGGCAATGACCCATTCCTAAGGAGAAGCCTGGGGCTCTGCACCCGTGGTCCTTTTCCAGAGGCAACTTTTTAAAAAAGTCAGGTGGAGGTGTCAAGAAGTCAGGCCACCTGTGGCTAGAGAGCAGCTGGGTCACCCTTCCTCGCCTCCGTGGTCCTGCACACTCTGCCCACCCGCCCTTCACGTGGCTCCATCCAGCTGGACCCACAAGGTGCCCCCCATTCCTCTCTGCTCCACCTGCAGCAGAAATCATTTCTCCCTCCTTTTAATTTTCATGCGCTTTATGCCTTTCCTCTTAGTTGCATTTGCCATTTTGCATGAGTCCTCGGTGTCCTTTCTTTGTTAAGTTGTGAGCCCCTCCTGGATTCAGATGACATCTCCTCCATGTGGTCCCGTCGGCGCCTCAGTGTGGCCCTAAGTGCAGGTGGTGGCGGGAAGCCCCCACAGCAACCTGAGAATCACTGTCTGAGGCGCTTGCGTGGGGATCTTTAGCCAGGAATTGAATCCCACCAAAACAGTGACATCTGAGCTGCTCAGGACAACAAAAAAGTATGACGCTGTTAGCCTCCATCTGCTTGCTGGTTGCCCACTTTCATCCTTAAAAGTGCCCGCATGTCCTGTGTGTCTCGCCTGGCTCCAGCTGGGGAAAGGAAGAAAAAGAGGGACGAAGGAGAGTCTGAGTCAGAGCCACCACCACAGGCCTCCACCTCCTAGCGTGCTGGCGTCTCTGTGTGTTATCAGAGCTCTGGCTTGTCTGACAGGTCTGTTCAGTTCAGTTGCTGAGTCGTGTCTGACTCTTTGCGACCCCGTGGACCGTAGCACGCCAGGCCTCCCTGTCCATCACCAACTCCCGGAGCATGCTCAAACTCATGTCCATCGAGTCGGTGATGCCACCCAACCCTCTCATCATCTGTCGTCCCCTTCTCCTCCTGCCTTCGATTTTTGCCAACAAACCTGACAGGTCTGGGGCACCAGCTGAGTCCTCAGAGGACCCACACCATTGCCGGTCCCCGCAGCCCTGGTCTCAGCAGTGTCGCCGACAGCGCCCACCTCGTAGCTGCATCTGAGCTGCAGAAAGGTTGAGGGTGGCCCGAAAGGCCCCAGGCTGGGGCCAGGATCTTGCCTCTTCACTCTCACGCTGCCTGTCCGTCTCGGAGATCTCCAGCCAGGTCATCTTCCCCCCACTTCCCTGATTGAGGGCAGTCTTTGCAGAGGGCATGGCTCTGTTTTTTTAAGAAGTCACTAGTTGCCCATCTGTTTTAGAGCACAGGTGGTCTAGAATGTAGGATTTCTGATAGAATCGGTACCCAGGGGCATGAATTAACGATCCTCTTCAAAACCTTAGTTGAGTTCAGTTCAGCAAACAGTTGTTAAACATCGCCTGCATCCCTGTGGCCGGTGCCTTAAATGAACCAGAGGCTGTCCTTGCCCCGGGAGAATTCAGCCTGGTCCTGAAGACCAGTCTGTGAGCAGCTGATTTGTTCTCCGTCGCGCAGGTCATTCTCTGCCGTGGTTCCAATTTGGGCGTTCCAGGAGGGCGTGTCCGAGGCACACTGGTCCCCTCCCAGCCACGAGTGTGAGTCCCAGCGTGTTGCCTCTGAGGACCCTGAGTGCTTGTGGAAGCACATACGTGTTCACATATGTTCTTTCTACTTTTTTTCGGTCCGACCGTTTTTTGTTGGTTTTTTTTGACTGAAATGACACTTTATTTAGAATCAACCTTCTTTATTTTCTGCATATTATTCCATCATTTGGAGGTACTAGAATTTCCTAGCTGGTTCCTTACATTTGAGGATGTTTGTGTGTGTTAGTCGCTCAATCATGTCCAACTCTTTGCGACCCCATGGACTGTAGCCCACCAGGCTTCTCTGTCCATGGAATTACCAGGTAAGAGTACTGGAATGGATTGCAATTCCCTTCTCCAGAGGAACTTCCCAACCCAGAGATCAAACCCTGGTCTCCCGCATCACAGGCAGATTCTTTACCAATTGAGCCACAGGGAAGTCCTTTGAGGGTGTTCAGGTCCACATAATTTGCGGTGGCAGGGATGACGGCCTGGAGAGGGTGAACACAGGATGCGTGGGAACCCAGGGGAGGACCGACCTGGCCTGAGAGTGCGGAGGAGGCTGGCACACAGACCTGCGTGTCCAGGGCGGAAAGGAGGAGGCGGGGCATGCCAGGCAGAAGCAGCAGCAGTTGCGTGGGTGAGCAGCTCACCTGTGCAGGGTGGCAGCCAGCACATGGTTGCGGCGGCTGAGGAGCGAGGGAAAGGTGAGGACAGGTGAGCGGCCGTGTGCCTCGGTGCCCGGCTCCACGTGACCTTGTGGCAGAAGCATCCGCGCTATCGTCTGCTCGATGGCTGACTCCCTGTCGTGCCCGCCCTGAAGGCCCAGAGCAGCAGCAAGAGGCTTCGTCGTGCCTCCAGGAGTTTGCAGTCCAGGAGGGGAAGGCGTCCCTCGGGACTGGCAGCAGTGCCGTGGGGGTCAGGGGCTCTGACGATCGGAGGGCGCTAGGGCCCAGCCCACCTGCGCCAGACACTGTGCCCTCTATTGCCACCAGCTCCCTACCGAATGCCTGCAGTGACATTCCCCCTGGGGATGGCTCAGGGCACGTGGGCCCGGAGGGTGGGGTGCTCGCCCCAGACCCCTGCGTGAGGGCCAGAGCCGGAGCTCCTTCCACCGCTGCGCACTTCCCAACCGGAAAGGAGGACTACGACAATCGTGCCCGCGAGGGGCTCTCTGGCGCAGGGCGTCTCTTTTCCTCTTCCTTTTGTGACGTGAATAACGAGAGCTGGCCGTGGCCAAGGGCACCATTCGGCGCTCTGTTTGCAGAACAAAACCCAGAGCAGGGGCCCCAGACTCTGTTCTCATCCCCAGAAGCAGGAGTGTTCAGTGAGGATTTAAAACAGCGAGCGTTTACCCAACCTTCACCTCCTGAAGAATTACTGACCATTCCATCTCCTGCTACAGACGTTTCCGATAAGGCTTTCTGGATAGTGTCCACATCTTCCCTCTTTACTGTTTCCTTCATCCGTCACACGTTTGTTAAGGGCCGGCTCTGTCTGGGCACTGTTCTAGGTGCCGGCCGTTAAGGAACAGAGAGAGATGCGCCTCCTGCATCCGTGGAGGTATATTCCGTGAGAAGCGTGAAGCTGTGCGTACATTAGAACGCCAGTGCCGTGGGAAGGCTGAGCGGAAGAGGACGTGGCAGGACGGCGTTCCTCGGAGCAGTTTGCCACAGTGAACCCCCGAGTCAGGGCAGGCCTCGTTGCCGAGGCACAGTTGAAGAGAGGTGTCCGGGTGGCCAGCGAGCCTGGAGCGGCCTGGAGAGGAGGGAGTGGAGCTGAGACAGATGTGCCAGGATTGTCCAGGGCTGTACTCGGTCCTGTTCTCCATCTCCTCCAGCCTGTCTTCATTCTTATTCTCAGCCACGCCAGAAGGTGAACTAATACATTAAACAGACATTATTCAAGCAAGGCCTCCTGGTCGTCTTTAGCGTGCAGGCTTCAATGCTGGAAATAGCTAAGTGGAAAGATGTCAATAACGTAATGCATATGCACTGACCAGGTATTGTGTAAACAAAACAGGAGACATAAGTCCTCACCATTGGAATTGACACTCGAATGAAGGATGCAGGAAAAAAAAAAACTTAAAGATGATGGCAGAAACTGCACGAGCTAACTAACGGTGGTCTCAGGAGGGCCGCGGGAGCAGTGTGCCGGACCGTCAGGGCCTCCGGCTGGGAGGGGAGCTTCTCTCAAGGCCAGTGGACATGGCATCCCCGCTTTGTGCCAGCTCTCCTCCTGGGGGTTGCCCATCAGCAAGACACGGCTCCTGCCTTTGCACTCACTATCCGGTCGGCTTGTGTCTGTCTCACCTCCTCCCGGCCTTGCTGACCCAGCTGCCTGTCTGTCCCTTGACGCCCTCCAGCCTGTTCTTCCCCACCTGTCCTGTCCGTCCTGATGGGTCCTCTCCCTTTTCCTACTCTTGACCCCATGCCCCAAATCCCAGGAAAGGATTAAAAGATAAGCAGTCCAGCTGCAGCCACCTGAATAAACACTTGGTCGTTCCACAGCCACCCCAGGTGTTTTTCTTTCTCAGGTAGGAGCTGGTTACCTTCAAATCCGTCACCCCTCTGTAGTGCCTTGGCTGACGGAGACATGTTTGTCCAGGGAGCCGTCCTTAGCACTGAGGCAGTGAGGATCTGCACGCAGACAGATGTGCCTTGCAGACAAGGCCAGGGCTTTCCAGAGAGGCCTTCCCATGCTGTGAGCTGCAGGCCTGATGCAAGAGTCATCACCTCGAATTAACCGCAGACCTGGCACGTTGCTGGCTTCATTTGCATTAACCCCGGCCTCATCGCTGCAGTTGACCTTGTCTAATTGACCTGCTTGTCTAATAGCTTTACTAATCGTTATTGTTAGAATAAGGTGCAAAAGAAAATGGTAAAGGTTATCTGACTGCTCTGGGAAGACAACAAAATTCTCTTCAGTTTCTGATTGAAGACTATTTCTCAAAGTTAAATGAAAATCAAGATTTGACATATATTTTCCATTTAGTTTAATAAACACACGTTCCTGAGTCAGAAAACTTTTTGATAAAGTGATTTACATTGTTTAGAATTTAAAAAATCCTATCAGAGACTTGAAGATCATTGGTTGCTGAAACAGATCAGGTTTTAAACTTGATGAAACGTCTTCTGAAACAAAGGTCTATGCAGCAGCATTCATAGAGCGTGTGCATCGATCCAGCAGACCCTTGTTGAGGCTGTGAGGAGTGGTGGGAAGTGCGGAGATGCCCAAAGCGGGCCTCACCCTGGAGGGCCTGGTGTCAGGCCGAGCCGGAAAGGAGCAGGGAGCGGGGGTTGCCCTGTCCCCAGCACACCGGGGTGCACCCGTGGTGGCTTGACTGGCCCCGCCCCGTCTTCTAAGGACCACTCGCGTGGGCCCTCCTTGATCACGCGTGATGGCCACATTGCACCTAGCCCTCGCCACCCAGGATGGTGGGCAGGTCCCGCTGGAGCGAGAGAGCTCTGCCAGTGAAGGGTGGGGCCCAGGCTCCGACTTGGTCCCCTCCCCGGCGTGGGCGCCTCCTGCTGTGTGGGGGCCGGGGTGGGGGGCCTCCACGGGCTGCGGGGTCCCTCCTGTGCTCCGGACTCGTTTCCACCTCCGTTTCCTGTTTTGAATCTGAATCGCTGTCCCTTTGGTTACTTGGTTTTAGTCTCAGCTTCCTTCTGGTTCTCGCTGAAGCTTATCACTGCTGCAAAGACCATTAGGTTGGTATTGCTTCTTTGACTCCCTCCTGCCTGTGTGTGTGAAGGAGAAGAGAGTCCTCCCCACACTTGAGTGGGGAGGCGGGGCTCAGGGCCACCCCGCCCGCCTCCAGCTCCGCTGTCCCAAAATCTGGAAACTTGCTTTCCTCGAGGTTATTTCCTGTTGTTTTTGTCTTGTGATAATCCTGTTGTATTTTTCGTATTCCCATTTCCAGTATCAGTGCTTTTTTTAAGAAAAACTTCCTTTATGTGCTGTGAACGTGGCTTTTTTGTTGTTGTTCACCTTGTCTAGTAGAACAGTGAAAGGGAAAATCGTTCAGTCGTGTCCGACTCTTTGCAACCCCATGGTCTATACAGTCCCTGGAATTCTCCAGGCCAGAATACTGGGGTGGATAGCCTTTCCCTTCTCCAGGGATCTTCCCAACCCAGGAATCAAACTGGGGTCTCCTGCATTGCAGGTGGATTCTTTACCAATTGAGCCACAAGGGAAGCCCGTAAAATGGAGAAAAATTTTTTTAAAAAGATCAATTAAAAAAATCCTTGGTTTGCAGTCACTTATTAATAATGCCTGAATTTTCCCTTTTATCTTGAAAGTTTATAAACTTGGTCTGTGTTTGGTTTAATCTAAGCAGTTCCCTGTATTGAACACTGATGTGCATGGAATGAACCGAAGTCAAGAGAAACAAACCTGGTGGGAAAAAGCCTTGTACTCGCCTCTTTTCCCTGCCTCGGAGTGTGAAGGTAAGGAGACCTGACGTGATCCTTCACCCGCTCAGATCTCTTAACTCCTTAAGGAGCAGTCTGTTCCTTTGGCTGTGAATATTGGTCCAGAAGCATTTTTGTGTGGCGGGCATTGGTCAGGGGCAACTGGGGACACAAGAGGTGAGCGCGGTCTGGACCCTGCTGTTACACCCATCAACAGCCTCTGGCTGGGCGGGCCATGGAGACACTTAAGCCCCCAGTGAGGGGGGCAAAGGCGTAAGTGTTGGTGGCCAGTCAGGGTGGGAATCGGGGGTCCCCCCGGGCCCAGCCGAGGCTGGAGAGACCAGCAAGGGACAAGCCGAGCTGGTCAGCAGGCTCGCGAGTTCTGCCGCATTAGGTGGGGTTTGAACAGGGAGGAGGAGAGGGCCACCTACAAGAGCTCATGTTGGAGGGTGTCAGGTTGGGTGCATTTTTTTTTTTAAAGCAATTCTAGCAACAGAATTGGAGTGGGGAAGGAATGGAAAGACTGGAGGGCACCTGCTGGGGCTCCTGGGCTCTTGCTGTGGTCTGGGGTGGCAAGATAAAGGCAGCCGTGGGGGAAGGAGAGCAGAGAGCAGCCCCAGGGTGCTGTGCGGAGGAGGCCAGAGTTCACCGAGTGACTTTCCGTGAGCCATGGGAGGGCACTCGGGCAGACCAGGGAGAGGGACACGGAGGGCAGGTTAGGGAACCTGCCAGGGTCCATGAACCTCCCGGGGGGCGGACCTTGGAAGCAATAAACGGCCCGGCTCTGCCATTCTGGGGGAGGCGAGAACCGAGGCGGTGGCTGAGCGGTCAGCTCGAGGCTGACCCTGTGCGGCCTGCTGTGGTCGCCTGCGCTCTGCCGGCTGCAGCGCTGGCCTCACGGTCTCTCCGCGCAGAGCCGTGGGAGGAGGCCGGGCTCTGGTTGGTATTTGCGTGTTCACGTGTGCGTCCCGTCTCCCCTCCCCGCCCGCAGGGCAGTGCCCTCGCTGCCTGGCCTCAGCCGGCCGGGGGATCTGGGATTGTCCGCGTCTCCTCTCTGCCCTGTGGGCACAGAAGCGGCTCCCCACCCCTGTCAGCCTCCTTCCCCGAGGGTCATGAGGGCAGCAGAGTCTTCATTTCCAGCATCTTTTTAACAGCCTCTATTGAAGGCCAGCTCCTCTGCTATGAGCCAATATTTAGGTGCTCTTCATTATTTCCAAGGTGCTTCAGTCTTTACAGCACCCACAAAAAGCCTGGTTTTGCCTCAGATGGTATACCCAGAACTAGCTATTCAGCCCAGGCCTGCACGCAGGCTGTAGCCCTGAGGTCCAAGCATGCTCTCTCTCCAGCGGCCTCCACACGCGCCGCCTGGGAGACACGGGGACGATAGGAGTGCAGACTGGACCCTGACCTGAGTCCCATCGGCGCCCTGGCTGAGCGAGCCCCAGCGGCAGTCACAGGGAACGCGGGCGGGGAGGGCCAAGAGGCCCAGGAGGTGCGGGGCAGGCGGGGGTGACCCCCAAGCACCCTGGGTGGACTTCGTCCCTGGGCTGTGGGGGTGACCTCCAAGTACCCTGGGTGGGCTTCATCCCTGGGCCGTGGGGGTGACCCCCAAGCGCCCTGGGTGGGCTTCGTCCCTGGGCCGTGGGGGTGACCCCCAAGCACCCTGGGTGGGCATCATACCTCGGCCGCAGGGGTGACCCCCAAGCGCCCTGGGTGGGCTTTGTCCCTGGGCCATGGGGGTGACCCCCAAGCACCCTAGGCGGCTTCATCCCGGGCCGTGGGGCATCTTGGTGGCCTCAGCCTGGTCTCCTGTCACTGGCGAGGAAGCCGCTGCAGCTCTTGGCCTGTGGTTCCCGTGCCATGCCTTGGAGGTGCTGCACGCAGCTCGTGGCACACGGGGCTCTCTGTAATTGCGGTGTGGCCTACAGGAATGTTCTCAGTGGACAAGCACGGTAGCCAGGCTTTCAGATGACCTGCCTGCCACTCACAGCTACCCCTGGTGGTTGCCTGGTGGTGATGTCACAAAGCCTGGTTCTTCCAGCCCGGGTGGGGGCAGGGGGGGGGCACAGTCTCAGGAGAAGCTCAGCTCGGAGACCAGGTGGCCCCTCACCCGCTCAGCATCCAGGCCTGCTGACTCCCCTCGCTCCTGAAGCTTCTGAGGCCACTCATGCCTCGTAAGAAGCCCATGCAGCTCTGAGTCAGGGCCTGACCCGGGAGCCCCGGCCTCCTGTGGGGGAGGAGGAGGAGCGTCACTTTTTCCAAGCGAGTCGGGAGACGGAGGCCCAGGAGGGCAGCGGCACGGCCCAGGAGGGCGGCGGCACGGCCCCGGAGGGCGGCGAGGGAACCCCCCTTGCCCTGCTGTGCGTCCACACACACGCTCCCTTGGCAAAGCCTTCTTGCACACTCACCTGATGCCAGGCGCTGTTCTGGGCACTGGAAACGCAGGGACCCCAGGGAATCAGGACCCAGGCATGGGACAGCCGGGACTAGCTGCAGGCGTGGTCCACGCAGTGGCCTCTGCAGGTGGCGTCTGACAGCCGAGACCGTGTGCGGACAGAGGCCCACGCGGGGGCGCCAGCCGGGCGGGAGAGGAGTGCACCTGCTGCGCCCCGCTGCGGGGACCGGGCAGACGGTGCCTCCCTGGGCTGTCCCGGGCTTCTGTCTGCGGGGCTCACGCACTGGGTTCGAAAAGTGTTTGTGTTCGTGTGGTCTTAGAGAGGGGGCTCTGCAGGGACTCAGGGTACATGATGGTTAGGGGTTCAGCAGATAGAGCTGAGCTGGAACCCAGTGCTTCCTACACCAGCTGCTAGACCTCGGGCGATGACAGGCCTGTCTGTGCCCCGCAGTCTGTATTTGTAAAAGGAGGCTGAAAGTGATGGCTTTCTTAATTAGAATAGTTGTGAAGGCTAAAATGCCCAGAACTGGCCTGACCTGTGGTCACCCGGAACGTGGGGACCATGGAGAACCCTGACAGCAGTCAGCATCGCCCTCTCCTGATACCTGTGGCATCCACTGATCCCTTCTGTCCGCATAGAACCCCTGAAGTAGGAAGAGAATGGGACGGTGGCGGGGTTGGGGGAGACCCTTTCCACCTACTGGCAAGTCCCAGCCAAGGACATAGTCACCATCCCACCTCATCCGAGGGGTAGCCTAGCACCGTGAGGCACGGGGATGATGAGAGCTTGATAGGCAAGCCAAGAAAACCTGATGGCCCAGGCCGGGTGCTGGGTTCCTGCCTCTGTGGAGCCGGGGCATCTTAACTAGCTTAACCCATCCCAGGACAGCTGGGCCCACAGCCAGGGCTGTGGGTAGCAGTGCTCCAGAAGACATTTGCCGCTTGTGCCAACCTTGCACTTGAGGCCGCGCACCCATCTTAACTTGCACAGAAGTCTCTCTAGAGATGAGAGCATTGGGGCTCTTTCAGGAATTTGCCCCCAGTTTGCTCTTTCAGGAGTTTGCCCCCAGACAGTTAAGTAGAATCCTCCCGAGTCAGCTGACAACCTGCCTCATCACAGAGCCTGGGGTTTCTCAAGAACCTGCACCGGGGAGGTTGAGGGCCCCAGGCTGTCGGAACTGAAGGTTTTGGACAGTGCAGCCTTTCGTGGGGAGGCCACACAGGGTGCACAGGTCCTCCTCCGGGGGTGGCAGGAAGGCGCGGTCCTCGAGCTGGCCCTGCCGCCGTGGGCCCCGCGGGTTCCATCTCATCGCGCGCGCGCAGTAACTGCCGGCTGGCTGGATGCGGACTCACGTGACGTCAGGCCCCCTGCCCTGCATCCTTCGCACAGAGTGAAGGCGCCTGGGCTAAGTGAGCCTCAGCCCCGGCCCCGCGTCAGCACCGCCGGGGAGCCCCTCCGGAAATGGCTGAGACTGGGGCTTCCAGGCTGGTCTTCAGGCCCCCAGGCGATCTGCTCTCGAAAGCAGGCTTGAGACCCGCAGGACTAGGTGACTCGGCCTTGATGCCTTTGGCTTCCAGCGTGCGGTCCCGAGCCCTCCCTGGTCAGACCGTGCGCCCCCTCCGCCTCCGTCCTCAGAGGGCGTAGCTCGGAGCTGAGCTGAGGAAGGGCAGAGAGGGTGTTGCCCTGTGTTTCCTCCCTCACCCTCCTCTCCTCTGAGCTGCGTTTGCCCCCTTGTTCCAGGAGGGTGTTCGCGGCGCGCCATCTGTCTCCTTCCGCACCACGTCCCGCCCCGGGGCCTGCGGGCCTTTTTTACCCTGTGTTCCCAGGGCCCGTCACCTAGAGGTGCGAGTGTGTTGTTGAGAGTGTGTCTCGTGGTGGGATTAACAAGACTATGAGATTATGTTGGCCTCTTTTTTTTTTTTTTACTCCATGAACAATTCATTAGAAGCATTTTTAAAAACTGGCCTAACGTTTTCCTGGCGCACACCTGGCTGGCTGATGCTGACCATGTCTGCTTTTAGTGATCTGACTGTTCAGCAAAAAAAAAAAAAAAAGAAACAAGAATGGTACATTTCATGACTGTGTCTTAATGAAATCTCCCTCCCTTTCCCTCTTTTCCCTTCTCCATTCAAAATGATTTAAGAATGTTATACAAATGCCAAGGGAGAGAATGGTATAGAAGAGTATCCAGATGTTAAAGAAATGCCCAGTAATGAAGAGCGTCTGTTAGATTTTAATAGGGTAAGTGGACTGTCCTCCTCCTTACTACTAACTCGCAGTGGCCGCCAGCGCCCCGCACAACCCGGGAGTCTCGCGACTGCCTCTCCCGTCACCGAGCTCTGCGGCTGCGGCCCTTTGGCCTGCCTCGCCTCCCACTCACCGCCAAGGCCTCCCCCTGTCCCCCTTCTCCTTGCAGCCCGTCCCTCCTGCCAGAGCGTGTTTGCCCCACACACGGCTGACCCTGTCGTTCCCCCTTAAAATGCTCGGGTGGACACCCTTTCCATCTTTCAAAATGCGCAGCAGGAAGGAGCCCCTCCATTCACAGCCCCGAGTGTGCCCTACCCGCCCCCCGCCCGCGTAGAGCTCCGCTGCGGCCCCGCAGCAGCTGAACGCACCGTGTGTCCGCCGGCCCCCCACTCCCGCCCGGCCCGAGCTCTTTGTGGGGCCGGCTCAGGGAGAGGCCGGACCTCGCCTGGTTAGGCCGGCAGCTGAATGAGTCCAGAGGAGCCCCTCTGGCTTCTCGGCGTGATTTGTCAGTGTCAGTCGAAGTCTTGTGAAAGTCCTCCCCCCCTCCCCCCCAGCGCCCCCGTGGTCTTTGTGTCCGTGGACCTGCTGGACTTAACGCATCAAGACAGGCGTCGGGGGGTCCCCAGCGTTCTCTGCATCCAGCTCCGTGACCGTTCTGCCGCCCGACCGCCGCCCCAGCTTCAGTGCCCAGACCTCCTCGCTCTTGTCCCTCCTTACGTCCGCACGCAGTCCGTGTGACCGCCCACCTCTCAGCTGACCCCAGTCCTCCGGCCTCTCCCGCCCCCTTTGCCTCACCGCTGCTGCCGTGGGCTTCGCCGCGGGCTTCCTGCTTCCACCCGCCCCTCCACCCCCAACAGTCTCTCTCCCACCGCAAGGCACAGCAGCTGCGCTTTGTTGCCTCACTCAGTCCCCCAGGAGGCGGGTGCTGTTATGCCAGTCTGCAGATGAGAAAACTAAAGACCTGGGAAGATTCCGAGGGGCTTCCCCGGTGGCTCAGAGGGTAAAGAGCCCGCCTGCCAAGCAGGAGATGCAGGTTCTATCCTGGGTCAGGAAGGTGCCTCCCACCCACCCCCTGTCCCTGGAGGAGGGCACGGCAGCCCACTCCAGTATCCTCGCCTGGAGAACCCTGTGGACAGAGGAGCTCGGCGGGGGGTGGGGGGGTGGGGGCTCCAGTTCATGGTGTCACAGAGAGTCCAACGCGACCGAGCACACACGATCACAGAGTTCCCGAACACACCTCTGAAGTCGCGCAGCCCGAGCCTGCGTGCCTGCCCGAGCCGTGCCCTCACCCCCAAGTTCGACCCCCGCCAGCCGCGGACCGCGATGTCCTCTCGCCCTTGGGCCCGGAGTGGATGCACTCTCTCCGTGCCAGGCCTTTGTGTCTGCCCTCGCGTGCCTCTCCGCTCCCCTGTTGGTGTGCCCCTTCCTCTGGGGGCTCTCAACCAGGGACAGTACTGCCATCTGGAGATGGGGATGGGGGCCGATGCTTGGGGCGCGGGGTGGGTGTTGCTAAGCCACTATGATTGGTGGGGGCATTGCTAGTTACTGTAGTATGTAGGGGGTGCTGATCACCACGAGGGAGGGGCTTTGCTAGCCACTGGGCGGGGGGGAAGGGTCTTGTTACTATGACTGACGGGGCATTGCTTATCACTGGGGGAGTGGGAGGAATTACCCAGTCACTGTCGGGGGAGGGGAGGGTGACGTGGCTAATTAACTGTGACCGGTGCAGGAAAGCATTGCTGGCTGCTGTGACTGGGGAGGGGCCACCACTTGCAGCTAGTGTCCCGAGGGCCAGAGATGTTGCCCGTCTGCTGGGGGGGGGGGGCAGTCCCATACAACCGAGAGTTTCTCTAAAAAGTCCCCCATGCCAGCGGGCCCCCAGTTCAGAAGCACCACCCCCAGGGTCCCGCCAGCTCTGCTTTTTATGTGGCCCAGCTCTGCTCAGCATCTCCTCAAAAGAAACGCTGTCCCTGCCACTCCTGTCTGGAGCCCCATCAGCGCCCCCCCCTGCCCGCCCCAGCTGGTCAGCGCAGCAGGAAGTTGGGAGGGCTGTGGGTGGATCGGTCTGCTTGCTCTCCGCCCCTGGAATGGGAGCCCCAGGAGGGTGAGGCCGCACTCGGAGACTCCGGAGGACGGGAACAGGGAGAATCAGGGTCTGGGGTCCTTTACAGGTCAGGAGGGAGAGGTGGTTCGTTTTGCTTTCAAACAGGAGAACTTGAGAGTCTGGTAACTCTCCACCGGAAAATATCCACCATCACTTTGTTCCTTAATCTCTGTATGTGAGAAAAGCGCCTCCCCCGGCCCCTTCTGTGACCGTGTCCCTCTCCCCTCAGGTGTCTTCTGTTTATGAAGCGAGGTGCGCAGCAGAGCGGGACGCCGGAGCCCAGCCCAACGGCTTCCACCGCACGCCGCGCTCCAGCGCGGGCTCTGCCGTGGAGGACTCGGGCTCGGAAGGTGGAGGCGAGTGGGCGGACCCCGGCGAAGAGGAGCTCTTCTCCCGAACTCATCTCTAACCCCGCCCCCCCGCAGAGCAGTACAAGTTATTTTTTTTTAATTGCTGTGTGAGGGGGAAAGTACCCTTTTGTGAGGCCTGTTAATCTAAAACAACTTAGGTTTCTTCTTCAATTAACTGGTTCAGATCAGTAATTCTCTTGCTTATTTTAGAGTTGAGGACAGCTGTCCTGTTGAAAATTTTCTTTCTTTTCTTTTTTTTTTTTTTCTTCTTTTTCCAAGCTGTTAAAATTCTTGGCTCTCTGAACTAGACTAGAACGGGTGTGCATGTGCTCGTCTTAGAAGCATCACTGCCTTCCGCGCCCTCTCGCCGCCGCAGCGCGCCCTTCCGGCCGCAGTCCGTCACCGCCCCCCCTTGCTAGCATCGCAGCGTCAGCGCCCACGCCCACTCCTCAGACTAGCTTCGGGGACACGCAGGCTCTGTCCTCTCTGAACTGGGGTGTGAACGCTTTACCCCCGCAGCGGGTCAGTGCTGTCTCTGGAGGCCAGAGGGCAGCCCGGGTAACTCATCCCGGGTCTCCATTCAGTAAAAAAAAATCTCATGTACATTTAACGTAGGAACTGCAAGGGTGTGCTTTTAGAGACTTAACAAAAATACTGTGTTTTCTATCTTAGGATCTTCCCCTAGAGTACGCACCATGGACAGTGCCATGGTCGGTGACCTCCTCGCTAGCTGAGGCAGCCAAGGACTCGGAGGTACGGGGTGGCATGTGAGGCCAGGTGGGGCGGAGGGCGGGGCAGCGCACCCCAGCCTGCTCTCGCGTCGCAGTCTCTTTGCACCCCCTCCCCCCCCAAACACCAGTCAGGGTTGTTTGTGGTGAGTCTTGCAATACTCGGTGAGGACCTGAGTTGCAGGTGAGATTCTTACGGTGACCAACATGGAATCCAAGCCCCCCCCAGAACTTGAGATTGTAAACGTCTGACCTGCAACAAAGGCCACCTCACGACCCCAAAGAGACCTTGGCTGCAGCAGCTGGCTGCGCTCGTGGCTCTGACTTAGCGTAGCTTAGATCTCCTTTTGTGTTTGAGAGAATGTTCTGGGCAAGTTCTGTGTGTGGCGGGTCGGAGAGCAGAGTCCTGGTTTCTCCCGTACCCGTGTGAGGGCTCCACAGGCCTGCCCGCCCGTGTCGTCGGGAAGCCAGGGCTCGATCCGTCTCGTCCAGGCCCATCCGTTTCACAACGGTCACTTCCTCAAGCTTTTCACACCGCCGTGCAACAGGCTGAAGTTAGAAGGAGCAATATTTGCAAAACCTAAACGTTTAAAGTTACTTTTCTCTTTTTTTAACCGACGTGTGAGATCAGTTGAGCGTGTCCGTAACGTCGGGAAGTCTTAACTGGATGAGACAGCACCACCATTGATTCTGGCAGGCACTAGACACGTAATATATACTAGCTGGGAGCTGAGCTGGCAGAGAATATGTGGTTTGCTTCAAGCATTGGGTTTCATTGCCTTGCCTTCATGATGACACAGGAAACTCCCTCCAGGGCCGTGGAGTCACCCCCCGGCACTCTCTGTCCTCACTGTGGGAAACCTGATGGGCCGTGGGGTTTGGTCTCACCACACGTCAGGGTTTGTTTTTATACAGCACATCTTTGACACTTTAAAGTGGGTTTGTGTGTGTGTGTGTGTGTGTGTGTGTGCGCGCGCGCGCGTGTGTAAGGTTTTTATGTTGCTGTTATTTATTTACAGACTTTATAAGGGTTTATGTATTTTCCTTTCTTCCAGAGCTTCCTAAAAATTGATTAGCATCTGCACTGAAATATAATTTTTAACAGCAAAGGCAAAAAAAGAATTGGAAGTTGTAAAATTCCTAAAAAAAAAAAAAAATCACTACAGTGACGATCATCCTAGAAATCGTTGCTTGTGTAGCCGAGACCAAATAAATAGATTTCAGACACAACCTTTAGCTCGGTGATTTCGGACAGCTGCTTTTTTTTTTTTTTTTTTTTTTTCATGAAAAGGCTCCAGGTGGTCACGGTGCAGACTTCCTCACACTGGCAGGAAGGCGACGCACCTCCCACGGGGAACAGGAATGGATTACAAGCGAGGGCGAGGGAGTGAACAGATTACATATTTATTTGTTTTCGTAGCTAAGTGGCTGAAGCCCGGAGGCTCTCAGCGACAGAGTTGAAAATTGTGGTTTTCAGTTTTGTAAGTGAGTGATCACAAAGAAAAAGCATCTCTTTAAAAAGTTGGCAAAACGCTGAAACGCACTGTGGTATGAAGCGCGTTGCACATCTTAGCACTGAAGCACCAGTTTCCCATTCCTGGGCTGAGATTCTTTTCCCGTGGTTGTATCGTTCTGATTTCACGTACACCAGAGTAACCGATTTTTTTTGTTTTGTTTTGTTTTCTTGTGGAGTTAACACCAAATAAAAAGTTTAAAAAAAGCCGTTGGTTGCCTTTGTTTATCGTAGCAGAGATTCTTTTATAAAAGAAAACCAGCCTCCTCTTAGCAACTTACTGACCAGAAATCATGTGGATATTCACTTAATGTAACAAATCACCTTAGGTAACTCCCACTTAGGTAACACCCACCGGTGTTAATTTCTGCAAAGATCACCCCCAGTCAATAATGTGTTAAATTCCAGATGAAGGTTATTTAGCTCTTCCTAGGGGCACTGTTGAAAGTGCTGGCATTTGCTTTGCTGGAGGAGAAAGTGGGTGGGGCCTTGCTGAGAAAAGAACCGACCCTGCCCACCCCCCCCCACCGCCCCCCCCATTCCCACCCCTAGGAACTACTGCCTGAATCTTGCAAAGAAAAACACCTTTTTGTCCTGTGGTGGTAGAAAAACAGTCTTTTTGTTCTGGGGGAGCGCTAGGGGAATGTGTATTTATATTAACATGATGACTGTACATTTTAAGAAATCAATATATTATTTTAAAAGTATAAAAGAAAACTCATCCATACCTCCATCACCCCAAGAGGATAGCTTCTAAGCTTTGTGCGAAACACCTTCCTAGACAGCTGAGTGTCTCTGTGGATATATGTACATAGAGAGAAGTTTATAGTAAGGGTTGTACTATGCTTGCTCTTCTGTAGCTTCAGAAATAGGATTTTCCTCAGATCTTTTCATGTCAGTAACAATCTGTGTCACTTTTACAGCTTATGATTCTATTACATGGATTTAATAAGTTCTGCCAACATGGAGAAAGTTCCCCTCATGTTTGTTCAGTACCCTAAGTCCGTTTCTCTGTTGACGACCTTTAACCATGGGCCTCTCCGGGCAGCAGCTCTGGGAGGTCAGTTCCAGCCCTCGGGACGCCTGCTGCTGGACGGACGTCCACACGGACACGCGGCCCCGTGGACCTGTGTGTGAGCCCAAGCGTCCTTTTCTCACCCTGCGGACGCTGAGCACTCGCCTTCCATCGGCACAGAGGGTTAGAGTTGTGCTTGGCCCATCCTTCTGGCTTCTGGGATGTGCAGACATGTTTTTACACGCTTCACAAGTAGTGCGGTGGTCAAGAATCTGCCTGCCAATGCAGGAGACACAGAGACTCAGGTTCGAAACCTGGGTCAGGAAGATCCCCTGGAGTTAGAAATGGCAACCCACTCCAGTACTCTTCCCTGGAGAAGCCCACGGACAGAGGAGCCTGGAGGGCTACAGTCCATGGGGTCGCAAAGAGTTGGACACAACTGAGTGACTTAGCACACATACATACATCTCCCTCTGAAGAGAGCAGAGCTGCTCTCCCACGTTTATGGAGAGAAGATCTCTGAAGCATGCATCTTGCAGACAAGCGAAAGGGGTCAGCCTCACTTTTCCCAGCCCTCCTCAGCCCCGCTTTCTGTGAAGTCCACAGGCAGCCCAGTTTGAGAGGACATCTGTAAGGGGAGGCCCAGGGCCCGGCTCTTAGAGCAGCTCCTGGTACCAAGTGAGCCCCAGAGCGCTGACTGGCAGACCAAGCCATCGGGCAGCATTGTTTCGGCATGCCCCCATCATCTCCGCCGGCTGGACCGTACCTCTTCCTCCGTTTGGTCCCGGCACCGGCTGGGTGGTCAGTATGGTGGCGAGGGGCCGCCACACGGAGGCAGGACCAGAGGCCGGCAGTGCAGCAGGGGGCATGTGTCCACCGAGACGGTCGGTATCCCTGGAGTGCGCCCTCCGCGGTGTCCAGGGCTTCTCTCGTCGGTCACCTCCCGGCACAGACGTGTGCCTTAGGCCTTTCACTGTGGCCTAACCACCCGTTCACTGTGGTTCTGCAAAGTACCGTGAGCGTCACAAGGGCACCCACTGGCCGAAGCAGGGTTGGGGAGGGGGGCGCCCCACGCACGGTAGCTAGTCACCTGGAGACTGTTTCTGTTCCCAGGAATCGAGGCGTCACAGCTAAGTGGACGGCGCAGGTGTGACCGCCCCTGTGTGGGTGTCTGCCGTAGTGCTGGGGTTCAGTCGGTACCACTGCACGTGCCACCCTGGTGGCCCGGGCACGTGGGCTGAGTGGCTGAGACGGGGGCCTGGAGGCCAGCTTGTCTGCACAGCGGCAGAAGAGGGGGAGGCACAGCTTCCCCTGAGAGCCGCTGGCGGGCGGCCTCCCCGGCCGCGCTGTAGGGAGCACAGAGACCAGGACGTGAGCCGCTGCTTTTAGAGACTGCAGCTGGCCTGCCACGCGGTGGGCGGCGGGGATCACCCTGTCTGGGCTGGGAACACTGCCAGCCCGTGCGGGGGCCTCGCCACGCACTGGGCACCCGTCTAAGCAGGGTTTACTCACAACCCTGTGGGGTAGGTACAGTGGCCCCATTTTACAGAGGAGAAAACAGACGCAGCGAGAAGTTAGATCACTTGCTAAGGTCTCACAGCTTGTGGCACGTCTCAGATGGTAAAGAATCCACCTGCATTGCAGGAGACTCCGGATTCAATCCCTGGGACGGGAAGCTCCCCTGGAGAAGGGAATGGCTTCCAGTATTCTTGACCTCGAGAATTCCATGGATGGAGGAGCCTGGTGGGCCACAGCCCATGGGGTCACAAAGAGTCGAACGCAACCGAGTGACTTAACATTTTC